TATGTGATTTGCTAAAATAGTCCAACTAAATTGTGTAACTTATTATTTAATAAGTGTTTTATATTTTTCGTGTGATTCTTTTATGGAATGTATTATTTTTTCTGTTACCATATGAAATGTATTTTTAATATAGAATAATTACGCAAATTGTTCCAACTGGTTTATTCATTTTGCAAATAATTACTATAATTATGGAAATATTGAGAACAATAATCAATTATGAGATTTGAAAAAAAAAATTGTTAATTTACTTAATAAATGTTATTCATTTTTTGTGTATTTAATTATTCAACTTGTGGATAATTAATCAAATAATATAAAATGTACATTTTTAAGATATCCTAATTACACAGGTCATATAGATTTTGTTGATTTATTCAATTATAAATTTTTATAAAATTGTTCCAAGATAATTGTGTTAATTACAATTTTCTTTCAATTATTTTTTATTAACTATTTTTTGGGTCTTTTTTATTTTTATCTATGAAAAATGTGGCTCTCGATTTTGTTTTCTACGTTAGAAAATTAATTTGTGGTAAAAGTAATTATCATTTTTTATATTTTATTGATGAAGTATAAAATATAATTCTTTAGTATACTATATATTGATCCAATATACCAGCTTATGGTAAGAAATAGTATCTCAATATTTTTTTCCATATTGCTAAGCATTTTACTCGATATTAATGAAAGAAAAATCTGAAGAAGGTCGATACTTCTTTATAAATATATATATCAAATTATTTGGTATATATATTTATTAAATCGACCAATCTAATTAAATTACACAATACTATTCACACAACTTAACAACCACAACGAAAAAAAAAATTGAGATACCCAATCATACCATAACAATCAGTCCATCTCATACAGTAATTGATCAACAAGTAATATACTAATAGGATTTAGTAACATCCCAACTGATCAACAGTAGAATATTTCTAAATTGAATTTCATCCAATCAAAAAAATTATACCGCATTTAAATTAAATGAGAATTTGATTAATAATTAACTAAAAATATAATTGTCAAACAAAGTAAAATTTAATGTATTAAATAAAGTAAACGTTTTACATTACAGAAATCGTGTACTAAAGAATTTGTACAATTTTTAAATTGATTTATTGCAATTTCTTTATACTTTTCATATCAAAAAATTTTTATGGAATTTAACTAAATTATACTTTGTTTTTCCTTTATAAATTCAGTCATTTTTCGATCATTTGTTGTTATCCTTCATTTGATTTCATTTTTAATATTCTAAGTATTGATTTTATCTTTTATTTAATTCAAGATGAAGTGCGAATTTGGTTTGATCAACAAAGTCACTAGAACTAAGAAACTACATATGAAGTTGTGAATAATTGAAAATAAATTTGCTGTTGAATACAAAACTACTTGGAAATTTTCTTTCATGATGAGGATATAAGAATAAATAACTTATTTTGAATTCATTTTTCCATTGTTTTTTTTACTTCATTATTTTTTTAACTAAACATGTTTTATGTAAATTTGCACAATTTAAATTTTATAGGTAAAATGCATTACATGTATATTTCATATTTTAACTTTATAAATATTATATAATGAGCATATTTAATTTATAAATATTAATTAATATTTCATACCCGTGCACCGCACGGGATTTATACTAGTTTAATTTATCACGAGCCAGTATAGAAGGGATACTATTTCTTCCTATTTTGAGGGATACTATTTCTATATATATACTCGCCTGTAATATATACTCGCCTGTGTTTTTTCCGGCACTCCAGTTTGAAGGGAATGTACACCACTTTTCTTTTATATAATCAATTATATTTTTAAACCATTTCAGTATAAATAAGTTCCAAATATCAGATGTACGTATACAGATAAATATTTATTTCACAAAATAAATACAGTATATTGGAAATTGCAGAAAATATGATTGTATAAATTAAAAATCTACCATTTTTGTTGAGAATTTGAAATGATCATTTTCATATGTCTAGAATTAATAATTATTTCTTCTTCAATATTCAATAACGTATCCATGTTAGTTCAAATTTAATTTACAAATTCAATTTTACTAGATATTGGGCTTAATTACACTACAAAAAAATTGTTATATTCCAACGGAAAATCCTATGGTAATATATTCCAATAGAAATTCTAACAGATATTTCAATGGTATAGCTTCCGTTGGAATGATTCCAACGGAAATTCCAACGAAAATATTCCGTTGGAATGTATTTTTCATTGGAATTTTAGATGGAATTTGATGATTCCAACGGCTATATTTCTAACGGCTTTTGACCGTAGGAATTTCCGTTGGAATATGAAATTTCCGTTGGAATTTTTATTTTCACCACCGTTGGAATCGTCAAAATTCAACGGAAATTCTAATGAAAAACTCATTCCAACAGAATATTTTTGTAGGAATTTCCGTTGGAATTAAAAATAATAACATTGAAATATCCATTGGAATTGCCGTTGGAATTTTATTTGAATATATTTCCGTTGGAATTTCATCATTTTCTTGTAGTGCATGATGCACAAATAAATAATAATAATTCATAAAATCAATATTATTAATGCTTTTTCGTGAATTGCATTAATTATATTTAGCCTCTCGCGAGTTATCTTCTCTCATTGTACCAAAAATAAATAAATAAATTTGGACACCACACACATTTGACAACAAATAGCTCCCAAAAAGAACAATCGGAAACGTTCAAATTTATCGTAATAGGGTGGAAGATTAGAAAATACATAGTTTTGAGGAGTTTTTAGATATATCCTTTGGGAACAATATTTAAATTTTTAGGCTGCATAATAGTTTTATTTATTTTACATATATTGATTTTTATGTAGCTTGAAGTACTTAAGAGTAGTAAATATTTCTTCTTCAATTTTCAATAACGAATCCATGTAAGTCCACATTTAATTTACAAATTCAATTTTACTAGATTGTGGGTTTAATTACATGTTGCCAGAAAAAAATATAATAAGTCCACATTTAATTTACAAATTTAACTTTATTAGATTGTTGGTTTAATTATATGATGCCTGAAAAAAACAATAGTAGTCTATAAAATCAATCTAACCATTGCGTTTATGTGCATTATATTGCACAAAAATTCTATTAGTAATTCTGATTAAATAAATTTGAACACAACACACATTTAACAACTAATAGCATCCAAAGTGAACAATTGGAAACAATAAATGCTTGATTGATGTTGGATCAATCGGATTGCACGTCTTATATACATAGCCATCAACAATTATCTATAAATTGTATATCAAAACGTTTCATTAGACCAAATATGTGGAGTATATATATATATATATATATATAGGGGCTGGTTCAAATAAAAATTATGTCTGGTGTGAGAACCGTGAGAACCATATTTGATGCTATTTTTAATTGTGTATGATGCTATTTTTAATATTACATGGTGCTATCATTTTTATAAATGCTAATAAAAATTTTGTTGCTATTTTTAATCAAATACATCCTAGTTAAAAATAGCACTAAAACACAATTAATCATAGCACTACATACAATTAAAAATAGTGGTTCTCACGGTTCTCACGCTAGGACTTGGTTCTCATTTGAACCACATCCTCTATATATATATATATATATATATAAAGAAAAAAATATATCCAACGGTTGACTCCAGAATTTTGTATAATCATAATAAAACAAAATATACAAATACTGGAGCAAATTTCGAGTGAGTCATGGAGGATGTAGAACACGTTTAATGCTAATACTTCTACAACTCAATTGGCAATTAATGATAATAATAATTTAAGAATATTGCATGGTACTCCCTCCATTTTGAAATATAAGGCGTATAAAGATTTCTTATTTTTTTTGAAATATAAGGCGCGCTCAAAAATCAAGACGAATTTTTACATTTTTTTTCAAATATACCCTCATTGTGTTGAAATTAAGGAAGTGTGGAGTGGTTGTGATTAGAGTAAATAAGGTTAATTTAGTCAATTTATTCATTAATTAATGTCTCCTTAATATTTGTGCAATAACCTTAAATACCTTATATTTCAAAATGGAGGAAGTACCATTTAGCTATATCTAAATTGTCTAGATACCTCATAGTTAATTTACAGACGACTCCTAGATTTCTCTCCAGCTTCGACTACACCATTTCCAATTTCTCATTACATTATTAATATTATCCAATCAGTAACTAATTAACAAAGAAAACGTTCTTAACCAAATAGGCCTTAAATTTTTTTGGGGGTGATTGGATATGAATTCAACTAGTAAAAAACTACTACCTTCTATTATTTTTAAATGTCATTTTTGCTTTATCAACTATTATCCAAATAAATGTCGTTTTGAATGTTTTGTATATATTTTTCCATTATTACCCTCATTTAGCTAATAAATACACTACATCTTTTTATATTCATTTTTCATTTTTTTTTCAAAACATCATTCTCTATCTTCATTAAAGAGGGTTATTATTGACAAAAAAAATATCCTTAACTACTGTGCAACTTCTTAAAGCGACACTTATTATGAATAAGAGGGAGTAGTTATTTTTTAACTATAGTTAAGTTTGAAAAAAGATAGTATGGTTAGTTGTTAGTGGATATATTAAAATAATATTTAAAATAAAATAATTATAGGTGATTTGATGTAAAAGTAGGAGAAAATGATTGCAAGTAATAGTTAGTTAAAATTATGTGAGTAGATGAATATTGAATTAAAGTTGATGTGATGTGTAAGAATGATTGGTTGATATTATTTAATTATATTGATAATATTGGAGATAGTGGAGTTGAATTAAAGTTGAGTTAAATTTAAGTTTTAATTGATTTTTTACTGTACAATTTGTATACAATCGCCCCTTTTCTTTTTATGTTTGTGCTTTGTGTATAAAGTTCCCACTCATTTTGTTCCCCAATTTACTTAAGGCTTCGGTTTTCTATTTATGTGCAGTTTTTATTTTCTGCGAACATAAGGAGAACTTTTCAAGATGAGATGGCTTGCGAGTGAAGGTGAAGAGAGAACATGGAAAGATCACATTGTCAAGGGTTTGGCTTTCATACTCATTGCTCTTTTCGGTATATTTCTTATTTTCTCGGCTCCTTATATTATCTATAGATAACAGGACGCGCGCTCACAAGTTAATTTGTGTGTGTGTTTAGTTTCCATATGTTTTTTCCTCATATTATTTTGTCTTTATATTCACTACAACAAAATAATAAAATTTTAATGGAAAGTTCCAATAATATATTTTAATAGAATTCCAACAGAAATTTCAAAAATAATATTCCGTTGGAATAAGTTTTCCATTGGAAATTTCGTTGGATTTTGACGATTCCAACTGTAAATTTTTCAACGGAGGTAGAAATAAAAATTTCACCAGAAATTGCATATTCCAACGGTAAAAAACCGTTGAAAAAATAGTCGTTTCTAATGGAAAAATCATTCCAACGCAATATTTTCGTTGGATTTCCAACAGAAGCTATACCATTGGAATATCCGTTAGAATATATTATCGTAGGATTTTCCGTTGGAACAGTAACAATTTTTTTGTACTGACTATACATGAGTACTAGTGAATTGACTAGTTTTTATGGTGCCTCCATGCCCTTTTGTAATAAATTTTTGTGGATAGTCTAAACTAAAGATTAAATTTTACACAAGCTAATATATATAATTGTGTGGATGAATGTTGTAGTTGTAGTGTGTATTTATGGTGCATTGAAACCAGTTAAAAAGGCTGCTGCCAGTCAAAAACCAGTCCTTTCCGAGGGTAATTATGCAGCCGCTGCTAAGGAGCAATTGACTTCTACTACTGCTGGTAAGTACATTTAAGTTGACCAAACATCCTTCACAATAAATTTCTGGCTTCAACGCAATTGCGGTGTTCAATATTAATATACCAAAAAACAATCATTTTAATTAATGCATTCTTCAGCGAAAATGTAAAAAATGTTAAAAAAAAAAAAAAAANTATATTTATTTTTTTTGCTTATTTGATTAATTATGAGGTGTAAATAATATTTATTTCGAAATAAGTATAATTTTCTAATAACTTTCTATTCTTAACAACTACTCGCTCGAAACTGGAAAGACGACAATAACGGGGGAGAAGGCGGGTCAATGAACCGCATAGGCGTGAATGTGCCGGATTGCTCCAAAGACAGCATCCTCGTATTCCAGGGCCCTACAACCCGTCTCCCAAACGGGATTCCGACCTACACAGTATCTATAGAGAACGTGTGCCTCTCGGGCCTCTGCACTTTTTCGGACATCCACATGAGTTGCGGCTGGTTCAGCTCAGCCCGGCTGGTGGACCCAAAGGTCTTCCGGCGGCTAGCCTATGATGACTGCCTTGTCAATGACGGGGGCCCGTTCAACCCAGGGGACACCCTCTCTTTCCAGTACGCAAACACCTTTGCTTACCCGCTGTCTGTAACCTCGCTATCCTGCTAATTAATTTATGTTAGCTAGCTATCCCTTTTGTAATCTTATGTATAATGTTGTGTCAAAATTCAAATAACTAATAATTAATAATTAACTTGTTGTTGTTTCTACAGAGGTTTATGTTATTTGTGCCCAAGTGTGTGTTTAATGGCTGTATGTAGATTGGGGTACTCTGTATTGTGTTTGTGTAACTATGTTCTAGAATTTTATACAATTAAGGTCACTCGATAATAAAAGAGTTATCACATATTGGACTAGTTTGTCCAATTATAAGCTGTTGGACATGAAAAAATCAAATGTTATTGAAAAATTCATTTACAAGCGTTATTAGTTTAATTTTTGAGCAACTTGTGTCCCTAAAAAGTAATATTTAAAAGAAAAATTGTATAAACTGCGCAAATTCTATCGTATCATAATTGCATTATTAACACCCATGAAAGACTCGTTTGTTCGTAATAGCTCTTAAAAGAAAAAATGTTGGTCTACATATTCAAATCAGACAGTACAATTCATCATATTTTCCCTTAGAACAACGCATATCAATTAGTTAGTACAAATGATAATTGTTGAATTAAAACTCATGAAATAATCAAATTCAGTGCAAGGAGAATAGTCTAAATCCATTATTTTAAATCTTATCAATTGCATTTAAAAGTCATTAAAAGTTGCACAAAATTCACTAAAGTCTCACACTTTAAAAAGTTTTTAAAAGTCCTAATTGAATATACTTTAGAATTAAAGGGAAAAATATTATTCCTATTATATATTACATAAAAATAATCTTTCTCTTACATTCTTTCAACCATTCAGTACTGCAGACGCATTGGTCTATCTTAACCACATATTTTGTTATGCACTTAACATTTATAAAGTCATATTTATTTGTTAAAAGATATAATTTATAATATCCAATGTCATAAATGTTTTTCGAAATATAACATTCAATAAAAAAGTAAGGAAATCTATCATTATATTAAAAGATTAAACATTTAATAATTTTAGCAAGTTTTTCTCGCTAAATACATTTAATGTCTACTAAATATAGATTTTCAGACATAATTAATAACGCAATAATTAGTTTTCTTTATCCTTCTGTTTTTTGCTCATTAAAAATCACAGTTTTATTGTGATATAATTTATTTTCTTTATCCTTCCATTTTTATTCATTAAAAATCGCATAAGAATTTTTCCTATTAATAGTCTGTTTTATCTATGTTCAAACATGTCTACATTAAATACTTTACAGATGTCCTGTAAATTATTTAAGCCCGTTAAATCCGTTTATTATCAACAAAATATGCGTGTAATCAATTCATTTCAAAATTTGAATAGCACATAAAAATCCCTATAAAATCGTATATTTGCTCGGTATGTATTAGTGGCTGAATAATTTGAAAGAATCCCATTTTACATGGAAATACAAATTTGTACAAGTTCTATCTCATATTGCATCGGTTTATCCTTAAATGATTGCATTATAGTCATATAGTGTGATTGGTCGAAAAAAGTGTGTATTATATATATTTATTAGCGTATTTTTATATGCTTAATTTTTATCACACTTATATGTTTTTCGGCTTATTTATTTATTAGATGGATTTGAGTGCTATGATATTTTTGTGCATTATTTTCAGACTATTGGGCTACTTTTATGGACGGCGAGATATTAAACGGAAGTTCCAACCAGCGAGTACGGGGGTGTCCCGTACTGACCAACAGCACCCCATACTCAGACGTCCAAGATAGCCCAACATTTAATTATTTGGGTTTATTTGGAGATTTGGACTTCACAAATAATTAAGGCCCACTACTAGCAGCCACTTATTATGGTGTTGGGTAAGAGAGAAAATAAAATGGGCTGCAAAACATATGTATTTGCGTGGGCCCAAGATGATAATTTCCTACACCATTCCTATGCCTTGGGAGTGAATCATTCACGCAAGCAGCCACAAAAGGAATTAAAAAGAAACAGAGTGAAAGGAATTATTTAATAAACCATCAGGAATTAATTCACGAACATCACGCAAAGCCGCCGATAGAAAAAAAACAGAGAACGCACGGACAGATACGAGGAGCCCGACGAATTGCGGAGGGAAGCCGCACCCGCACACGAGGGAGATAATTAATCTCTCTATTTTATCTTTTTCTTTTTATTTTATTATGTTAGAGTAGTTTTTATTCTAGTTCCGGTGATGTTGAACCTTACGACTTGACGATGTTTGATTAATTTAGGTGGTTGATAATTTTAATATCTTTTTGGAATTGTTTGTGTTATTTTGAATAATTCACCATGATGTGTTAGTCTTGTTTAGATTGATCACCTAGATTAGGCTTTTCATATCTACATCTGAATTAGGCCTGCAATCCGTAATTGTTGTTGTGTTTAATTCATAAGAGGTAACCGGAAGATGGTAACTACCGGGGATAACACGGCCTAATTAAGTGAACGAACGCGGTTGAGTTCACTAATTAGTCTAGCCTATTTTTCTAAATCGTAAAGCGGCTAATTGTATTAAATCTTGAAAACGTTTTTCTAGACTGTACAAGAAGTCAGGTTTAATCGTCGAGCGTCTCGCGGTTAAATTAAAAATAAGGAAAAATTCGGGTAACAGACCGTGTCGTTGCCTAGGGCTAGTAATTTCATAAGATAGCGAGATTTGGTACCAGAATTGATTAGACGAGTCAGTCGAGGGTGAGACGGAACCGTGAACTAGAAGCTTTCTCTTATTTTATTTATTTTTATTTTTATTTTCTTGTTTAGATTTTATTTATTTCATTAGATTTTTAGGTAGTTTAGTTATTAAATCAAAACCCCCCCATTTATCGCTTTTTATAATTTCAATTAATACGAAAAAAATTCACAATTTGATTCACACTCCTCGTGGGATCGACCCTTGCTCGCCACTACTACTAGTTAGTAGAGGTTAGTCGAGGAAAATATAAATATTAATTTGGCCGCGTTGCGACGCGCGGTCAAATTTTGGCGCCGTTGCCGGGGAGTGGCGTTATTGAATTGTGATTTTTTTGAGTATTAATTGAAGTTTTTTTTTAGGATTTTATTTTATCATCTTTTACTCCCCTTTTCCTTCTTTATTATTATTATTTTTCTTTGTTGGCAGAATACTGGGTGCCTCCATACTCTGCTGGACAGAATAGTTCGCCCCCATACTCGCGAGATTGACTAATTTTTGGGCGATTTTTGCGAGCTTTGAGCAACTTTTTGAGATGGCAGCCTATTATCACGACTTTTATACCCACCGTGCACCTTACCAATATGAAAGGGAGATACGAGGCCCGTGGATTGGAGATCGAGGCGTAAGAGGACCTAATGGTTGGCGAAGATACGAGCAAGACTACATGTATCCCGAGGAGAACGAGTACGGCTTGAGAGAGCACTCGAACTCTTTCCATGGGTACTCCGAGCCACCAATTGCGCGATTTCCCAGCCCATCGCTAGAGGATATGGTGAAGGCAGTAGAGGCTCACGCGTTGAGATTTCTGCAAGAACACTGCGAGCCATTAGTTGAGAGAGATCCTGGTCCGTCGCTCGAGGAGATGATGAAGGAGTTGACGGCTAACACTCTTAACTTTCAGCAAAGTGTTGAGGCGAGCATCAGGAACCAAGAGGCGATCATCAAGAACCAAGAGGCGAGCATCGAGAACCATGGACTGCGCATCCGAAATTTGCAAGGCCAAATTGGCCAATTGGTGGAACAAATGGACCGACTAGTGTATCGGCTGGAAACGAGTCCAATGAGTTCGAGCGTCATCCATTCGTACAGCGAGGACCTCGAGGAACTTGAAGAGTACACACACGAGCCGGAGAACGAGAAAATTACGAATATCGAGAAGAATGAGAGCGAAAAAGAGAACCAAGCTGCAGAATATGGGGCTGAGCAGCAGAATACAGGGGTACCCCATACTCGACCTGCTGTAGCCAAAATGCGTACCGTTCTTCCCTCTCTTGTGTCGATTGAAGCTGAACCGTGTCCTATGTCTAATATGAAGTGGGTACTGAGTAAGAATGCACTGAAGCATGTCTTGAGCCTTGATATACCTTCTCTTGAGACGATCGAGCAAAACATAAGGTGTGAATGGGATTTTGTTGAGGCGGTAACTGTGATCGAGCGTGGGTTGCTACACATCCTTGAGGAATTAGCGTCATGGAGAAAAGATCCGGTGAAGCACCCAACACCGAGGATAGAAGATGCCGTCAAGCAGGGCGTGGTGAGATTGGTGCCTCCCTTGAGGCCACCTCCGAAGCCGCCATGGATCTTTTGATGAAAAAGAAGTAATAAGTCGGGCCAACGACAATAAAAAGAAGCGCTTGTTGGGAGGCAACCCAATAGTGTGTGGTTCGGCGACCTTCTTCGCATTGACTAAGGTGAACTCGTTTCTTTTACGTCCGTTTTTGTTTATTTGAGTTTACTTGAGTGTCTATGATATATGCAAACTCTAAGTTTGGGGAGGTGGTTTCTTGATGAGCATTCATGATTTATTATATGATTATATTTATGCCCCTTAGAGTTTGAGTTCTTAGATTGCATGATATTTGTTTTGTCTTGTGTTAGTGTGAGATTGCATGTACGTGGAATTTTGCGATGATGACATGAGAGTCGATATGGATTTATTGTGCTAGTTTAAATGGCTTGAGTTAATTTTATTTGGTTAAATTCTTAAGGTGTTTTTATTTTGGGGACAAAGGCATGATGGTTGATATTTTTGTGACTTATTTGTGGTGAGTTGGTTTTAAGGCGATTTGTATTGTTGAGGTGTGCTTGTGATTGCTTTAATCAATGTTGATTAAGTTTGGGGACTTGAAGTTGAAAGTTAGGGTTTCTATGTCTCATAGTCGAAAAAAAAAAGAATAATGAGGATGGAGGAATAATTGGTGGAGTTGAAAAGCCGTT